TATTTGTATGTCAAGTTCCTTACCGCTGCTTGGGAAGTTTTCTGCCATTACTTCTGTGAACAGTGTTTTTATGTTGTTTGCACTCTCTCATGTTACTTCATTGACTCTGATCAGTCTTATGTAATTCTTCTTTACATCATCCAGCAGCTACTGGATTGATTTCCTGTGGTCCCATACTATTTTTAAGAAATTGTTCTTTTCCTGGTCACTAATTGAACACCTGTCTTCTATATCTGATATTCTGTCCTCACATTGGCTCATTCTGTTGTGTAAACTTTCAATGGAGTTTTCAATCTCCTGGATATCTGTTTTGTGGATTCCATTATGTTCCTGAGCTCCTCTATTTTTATCTGTCTCTGCTCTAGTTATTAATTATGTCTTTCACTATGGACACCATCTCTATTGTGATATAAGAAATTATTTCTGATTTTATTTCTTCCAGATCCTCTTTCATTGCCAATTCAGGGAGTCCAAGTGGTTGAGTATCAGATTGTTTCATCTTATTGCCCCTTGGAGTTGCTTTTGGTGATCTGGGAGTCTGGTTTTGAGTCTTGTTTAGTCTTCTTCTTCTTCTTCTTTTTTTTTTTTTTTTTTTGAACCAAGGATTGGACTTGGGACCTTGTGCATGTGAGGCAGGAGGCAGAACCACTGAGCTAAATCCCTGGCCCTTGAGTCTTGTTTAGATGTTTTCTCATTTCTATTTTTGTTGTTGTTGTTGTTGTTGTTGTTGACAATGATGCTTTGCTTTAATTTCGGGGCTGTTATTTGTAAATTGCTTACTGCAAGTATCTTTATTGGTAGTACTAAGAACCCTTGGGAAATAACTACTTTTTGGATTGTCTTCCAGGTTTAGTTGGCCTCTGGGTTTTGAGTCTGTAATGGCCCTTAGGCAATCTCAGTCTTGGTATACTAAGAAGACAACTGACTAGAACAACCACATCACCATGGCCAAAGTAATACGAACAGTATCAACAACACCATCAAATACAGCCCAGAAAATGACAAACTGTGGTAACTATTAATCTACCACATTTGACCACATGAATCAGACTTGTGGTTATATATCAAAATCTAGAACCAAACATAATATATTTGCAGTAAATAAGCCCTTCAATATAGCGAATTTGCCCTCTGAAGAGATTTAGGAGCTTGGGGAGGGGTTAGAGAAAGAGAAAGAGAGAGAAAAGTTATAAGTAAGGATACAGGGCACAGAAAATCATGTGAACTTCAGGAAACTGATGAAGACAGAAAGAAAAGAGACGGAAGGAACAAAACAAGAACAGGACAAACTGACAGCAACAGAAAAACCAGAAAGTGTGTTTCACTCCTATAAAAATAAAAACAATTGAGGAAAAAAACAGGACAAAAAAGGAATAAGAAAGGTGAGAAATGAAGAAGGAGGAGAAAAAAAAGAAAAAAATATTCCCTTCAAGGCATGTCTCTGTTGTCCCCAGCCAACTTCAGTAGGATGCAAGTCTGTGTTGACTAATCTCAGTGAGCCAGGCATAGTCCACTGAAGTTCAGGCTGGTTTCTGGCTGCAAGGCTGGAATTGAGCTCCCTGACCTTCGGGTTTGAACTTTGCACAGTTCCACGGGTTCAAGCCAACCTTCCCTTGAAATAAGTCTGGTTCCAGTAGGAAGTGTTGACCCCAAAAACTCACCAACCACTGTAAACTGCTGCACCTTTATTGAGGTGACTCTTTGCTCTCCCAGTAGGCTTCAATTCTCACAAAGCTTAGGAGAAGTCTTCACTCTACTGCTCATCACTGTGCCAATTCCTGGGCTCAAAATGATGGCCTTCTAGATTCCCGCACTGTGCTGCTATCCTGGCAGACCTCTTTCTTGGGCCTGGGCACTTTAATCAATGGTGTTCAGGTCAGCCTCTGTCTCTACTATACCTTGTTGAACAGCAATAACAAAGAATCAACACCAGATAACATTTCTGTTATACTTAGTAGGTCAGGGTGATTGAGGAAATGTAATCTCATAGTTTGTACTGAGTTCAATATTAATGTTTCCAACTCTTGATGGATCAGATATAGTTATTGAAATCAGAACATATACACTATAGAAAGTCCTTTCATATTTCCTAATTTAACTCACATTGCAACACATGGATATTGTTATTATCCTGTTTTAGAGATTAGAAAAATGCCACTTTCTAAAGTGAAATGACTTCTCAAAAATGATGGAACTTGAACTTGAGCATGTGGGCTCAAAACTTTGCATAGATTTCATAACTCCATGTTGCCTTTTTAGGAAGACAAATATATTTCTTTTTAGTGATATTGTCATGCATGGCTGGCCACTACCAAAAAAATGTTTAAAATTTTTTGAGCTAACACAGGATACTATTTTGGTCTATAAATCTCATAAGAATGGAATATACACTGTTAAGAGACTATTCTTTTTTAAAATAACCTTAATATCTTTGTCTTTAAAGTACATCTTCTTTTAAGTGTACTTGATCTTAGAGTTTTGAAGAACTGCCTGTGTCCAAAAGCAAAAAATTAAAAATAAAAAGATACCACAAGTTATAAAAAAGATCTTTCATATAATTAATATGTTTGTTATAATTTAAGGTGAAGTGAACTTTGTTTGAAAAGATGCTGGGTTTATTTTTCCTAGATTCTCTATTTTATTTTGGTATTTTTTAACAGAATGTTTGCTTAAAACTAATAGTTTCATTGCTTATTTGCTAAAATATTGCAACTTTAGAAAGCTAATGAAATGACATTGAAATTGGGGAGTATACTTAATGTATTTAAACAAACCTAAGGTAACATTCAAAATTATAAAATGTTTTGTATTCAACTTCTTAGGCATTTTATAGAGTGAGTACTTGTACCCATATGGGAGTTTCAATGTTCTTTCTGTCTTAAAGTAACTCATATAGTATAAACTTCAAAGCATTTTTCAAAGAACATGGAAAATATATCAAAGTGATGCATAGTGGAAAATAAGATGAAGAATGGCATTCAAAGATTTTATGCATTCAAATAGGGCCATGCGGCCTTATTCCACAGCTCAATGTTAAGAACTATAAAAAGTATGATACTGATAGAGGTCAAAAGTCTCCTGGGTCAGAGAACAAGGACTTTACAATGCAAAAGTAGTGGCTGAGTGTGAACATGTTGCTTATGTAAGTTTCCAATGTCCTCCTCCCATGAAATCCAACAGGTTGGACACAAAGGACCAATGACACATGACTGTACATGTATGCCATGTTAAAGAAATCAAAGAAGCCAGGCGTGGTGGCTGGTGCATGCCTGTAATCCCAGCACTTGGGAGGCTGAGTCAGGAGAATCACTGTGAGTTTGAGACCAGCCTGGGCTACATAGTGAGTTCCAGATCAGTCTCAACTATGTAGTGAGACCCTGTCTCAAAAAAAAAAAAAAAAAAAAAAAAAAAAAAAAGAAGTCAAAGACTGATTCATACAAGCCTGCTTGTAGTCTAGGAAAAGGTACTGCCTAATCCTGCAAGTTTGCATGCCACCAGCACCACCCTGAGAAATGGCCCAGATTAAATGCAGTGCCAGTGCCATCCATTCTTTTGTTATCCCCAAACGTATCTGCAGGAATGCTCAGGACCACAGCAGAATGCCTTTCCCAAGAGGGTGAAGCTCTCAGTACTCTTCCATGACAAGAGACACACTGCCCTAAAAGATAAGATCAGTGTTTCCGCATACTTTGACTCTCGGGAGGAGCAAGAGAAGTTCTTACCCTTTGACCTCCAGGTGAATTTGAAACAATGGCCTCAATGATCTGGGCATTCACAGAAATAGCAAGTTTTGGAGAGGTAAAAAGCATCATAATCGTATTTTTATTCCACAAAATCACTCAGGCATGGTGAGGAGAACTGAACAGAGTGGGCAAGACAGAGCCTCATTAAGGAGGCTGTTATGACACCCTGGCAAGTGACCACAAGGAGATGAGGGCTGATGTAAGTCTGGATGTAGAAAAGACATCCAGAGAAGACTGAGGAGAGGATGGTTTGCAGCTGATGTATGCAGAGGAAATAAGCAGGCAGAACTTGGGAGAAAAGTTAAGTTGTGAGACGAGAAGATACTTGAGACAGTTTCTGAGAAGTTACAGTTGAGAGATCAACTTCACTGGTGTACAGATATAAGATAAATGGGTTGAATATACATCAAGACACGTAAAAGTACTAAAGCATTCTATAGATGATTTGGAGTCAAATAACGATTCCTGCCAACATAAAATCATCCAGTATTATTTATGCCTGGGTGTCTCTAACACACACACACACACAACAACAACAACGATGACGATGACGACGAAATTTAACAAAACTATAGTGAATATGGGGTCCTCTAGACATTTTAATTCATGGTATAAAATCTTAGTAAAAGAATCACAAAATATCAATATTCTAGAAAGCAAATGTATAGTATTCAAAAACTTATAATATTCAATTCAAATATTCAGAATCCTCAAAATATTTTCAAATGTTTGCTGTTCACCAAAATCCTTATTGAATGTGATGAATGAATAATCCAAACTTCATTTAAACTAATACAGTAGTTTTAGATCTTTCTCATTATAAACTATACTTTAAACTAATCAGAATAAAAAGGGAGGATACATTTAAGTTTTCTTCTCATTTCTCCATTCCAAGTTTTAATAATCAGTTGCCCCTCCGTAACATGCACATAGCAGAGAAGGAAAAAACAAGATCTAGATTCCTAGTTGATGATAAATTAGGAGTAAAACATTCTTGGTCAACCCTCCAGCTAAAGGTAGCCTACATCGTTTCACAGACAAAACAGATATTCAGTTGTTAAGTATTTACCTATCTACTTCACCTGGATATTAGCCCTAGATATAAATACCTAATCCTGAAAAGTTGGTAAGGGGACAAGTGGAGCTGCATAAGGCAAGGTCACTTATACCTTAGTAAATCCAGTAAAACTGAAGAACAGCCTTGGGCTCTGGGACTGCATCTTCATTGTATGGCCCAGGGCAGCCACCACGTCTTACCTGGTTGCAGGTATTGATGTCGATGCCCCCTTTCAGATATTCCACGACTTTGTCCAGGTTTCCCGCTCTGGCAGCTCGAAGAAAGCTTGCATTGCTATCAGACTGTGAGAAAAAGAAAAGAACATGATAGAATTATTGATAGAATAAAAACATGAAAAATACAGAAAGACAAGAATGTTTACACTATGTGTCAGAAAAGTTCTAAATGGAAAAATTCCCAACACTGACTTTAAACATTGAATATTATCCACAGAATAAAGGGAGCAAACTCATGATACTCCTACAGTTGAGGATATTAAAATCAATGGGAAATATGCTCTGCTTATTAAAGAGTATAAAAGTCATCAAAATTAAAATATCACTGCATTGTTTCAACTCTTCAACTACATTCAAAGATGAATTTACATGACCCCAAATATCACTGTTTCCCATTTTGTTAGCATGAGGATTTTAGTGACTTTACCCTGAGCCTAATGTTAAGTCAAAAAGGAACAAAAACATAAAAGAAATTAAAGCTACAAGGTTTCTTCTTTGTTTACTGTTGGTCTGAAGATGGATCTACCCGGGAATGCTGAGTATAGATCACTTAACACAGTTCCGTGTCCTCCTCATCAGAGAGTAACAGCCATCTCTGAGGATGTTCTGAAGACAGAAGACAGCCCTGGTGTAGATGGGGGCTGAAGCAAATTTTGTGATGCCAGTGATTTTGCGAAAACGTGATTAATGTGAACTAGGAAATAACACCAGACTAAAATCTCTTGATAAAGATAAACACTGCTGAAAAACACTGGCATTTGGGAGGTGTTTGTTTGTTTGTTTGTTTTAATTTTATTGAGTTTATTGGTACATTTTAGGGATACAGTACAGTTACATTCATTGTTGGGATCATGTACCTCTACATGGCAAGTCTTGATTCTCATTTTTTCCCCTTACCTCTGCCCTCCCTTCACCCCCTCCTCCCCTCCCCATCTGCAAACACTTTATTTTCATCTTTTCATTCTCTCACATTTTTTTCTTTTCCCTTTTTGTTCTTCCCCTACGCATCACACCTTCCCTACACCTTCATGTTTGTTTGTTTTTAAGTGTCTCATCTTCCCATGTTCTACAAAGGAAAGTCTGATTCTGGGAAAACCAGCTGAACTCTCTTCACAGAAGGTCTTGAGCACAGCTCTTTCAGAGATTCAGCTAAAATCACTCTGCCCTTCTGCTTGGTTAAAAGAGTCTGACCTTTACACCTTAACAGGGATGATAAATTTTTGTTAGGGTCCAAGATACTTGCATAATGGTTGTAATTTTTCTTGTGACATAAAATCTGACCAAAGAGACAATGGCAGCATGCAGAGGGCTATCACTGGCATATTCAGAAGTGAGATCCGGGCTTGATGACTCCTAATCAAATATTTCACCATGTCCCTCCCTCAATCCAGTATGACTCATGGCGATGTACAGATGTGGAAATGGAAGTATTTTCTCTGGGAGTTCCAGATACAGGATTACATGCACATTGTTAAAATGGCTTCCACATGGAACGACTAAAAACCCTAGGACTACATTACCTCACATTAAATCCAAACTCTACAGTGGCTGACAGGTAACAAATCAGATAAATGTATTAAGGGATGGAAGATGTGACTGAAATGCCTACATTCAGAATTCATGCTCTGAGTCTTCGGCGATGTATCATGGTATGATTAATATGGAATTGCTCATTCCCTCCCCTCTCCTCTATGACGCCTCACATCTCATCCTTCCTGAAATCTGTGCCCTGGCACAGTGCCCCAGGAAGATCTGCAATGCCACAGTGACTACATGGTGACTCATTTTAACATGTCTGCTTTGTGAAATTATTTTGCTGCATGCAGCAAATGCTAAATTCCTGAAAAATTTCCAACCTTGCCCCAGCATTTATAGGTCAATATCATAAAATGCATTATGCTATGCCAACATCTCGTCATATCTTAGTTTTTACCATAAAACAATAAAAATGAAATATTTAGGGGCATAGGTATTAAATATTAAAATGTTATTTCCTCATAAACATGTTTTTCCAAAATAAATGAAGACACCCTAAATTATATTATAGGTTGTTCCTAGAAAGTACTCTCAATTTGTACATTAAGCAAATAATCATAGGTAATGTTTATTGAGTAATTACTGTGGACCAAATATAGAGATAAGGACTCAAGTGCATTATATCATTTATACAATAATATCACACCAGAGGAGCTTCTGCTACACTTATTTAATAAGGCAAGAGGCTTAGAAGGTTTCCAAGATCACACATTTCTTTAGTGAACAATTCAAGATTTAGTCATGTTTATTGGACTCAGAGTTGGGAGTGTTTTCTATTATTCTTCTCCCATTCTCCTAAAGTATCAAAGCAGATGTTACCGGGGACACATACTTAGGAGGCCTACGTTCATTGCACTGGAAAGAACCAGAGCTGTATCCTGGATCTACATACTGCTCTGGAAACATGGCACTTGGTACAGCTCTCTTGGCTGGAGAGAATTCTTAGTTGCCATTGCCACCTTCACATCAATTACCCATGAGGATACAACTAGAAAATTAAGATCTAGCTGAGACAAAGTACACAGAAAAATACTTATTTGAAAACAAGGAAAGCAATGGTAAAGAGTGCCCAGCATGAAAATGCCAATTGACTGTATCTCTACAAATTCAGCATAAGACCAAGGTGCTCCATTGCTGCTATTTTAAAAAATAGTCATGCACAAGTAGAGTCAGAGGGGAAGCCTAACTCCACAGAGATGAAGGGACACCACTGCAAAAGGCTAGAGGGGACAAGCTGGACTGCAAGGGCCACAGGCATCACTGAGGGGTAGGCGAACCCAGCAGAATGTTTGACGGTGCTGGAGACTGAGGGCCTCTGCACTGATCTATATCCCGTCCCACTTATCCTTTTCTATTTTGAGTCAGGTCTTGCTAAGCCACTAAATTGCCTGGGCTGGGCTAGAACTTGTCATCCTGCTGGCTCAACCTTCCAGAGTGCTGGAATTATAGGCTTGCACCACAAACACTCTCTTTGAATCTTCTTTAGGGACTAGACGCGACATTGCAGGTTGAGTTTGCTGTTTAATAGTAACAAGAAATTTTTATAACTAGGTTTCTCTTTTCTGAATCAAACTTTTTAAAAGTGGATGCAAATCCAAGAATTACAGCTAATCACTCGAATTTTAGCAATGTTCTCAAGAGAAATGCAATATCTAAGCCATCCTGCCAGGGAACTCTAAAGCAGTTAAGTCAAAGCAGACTTTGGCACACACTTGATTCTTCTAGAATCCTTGCTAAAGGAATTTGTTTTCCCAAAGTAAGAAAATTTATTAAATGCAAATGATATTGTAAAATGGTTACAGTGTGGATTCCATGAACAAAATTAAAATGAGGTTCCAAAATTGCATACAGATAAAGTCGATAGTATTAAAGACCATACACATATTCATTCCTGCATAAAAATCTATGTTCTTCTCCCCCTTACAGATAAAACATGAACACACAGCCCTACAATGAGGTCAATCTCTGATTAAATTCTTGACACAAGGGCTTTGGATAAACAGCAGTTAGTCTGGTTACCTTTAATCAATAGAGATGAAAGAGGATTCAGACTCTCGCAGAGCAATGAGTCACTTTTACCATTGTTTCCCTCTGATTATGACTAAAGTAAGACTTTTCAAATCAAGTATGAGTGGGACAAGAGAATGCTTTCAAAATAGACTGTTGGCTCAAGCAGATTTCACACACATAGCTGCAAAAAAGAACACACGAAACAATGGCAACGCCTTTGGGAGAAAGTCTTAGATGGATGTGAGATTCACCTCTCCCTCTGCTTTGCTACTTTATGTCCCTCAAACCCTAAAGACAATGGTTTGTTTGCCTGGAAAGTCTGACTCTGGACAAGGAATTCAAATGCTGAGTCCCATCTACTTTAATCTGCAACAGATGGATGTCATTAAAGCTTGCCCCCTCTTCAACCCTAGTGTGACATCTCAAGCTGAGGACAAAAAATTCCTCTGCAATTTGTCTTGACACTGTTCTGTACCCTTTTACTCACATCTCGATGTTAGAGAAACAGAACAGATGTGAGGATGTGAAAGAACAGGAGAAACACACTTTGAATGCACCACTTTCTATCTCACAGGCTTCACGAGTAAAGTCACAGGAATCCACCAGTGTGCTGTGACATATACACATGCTTTCATTTTTCTTATTAGGATATTACAGAAATGAATTAAGGTGTTCTTGCATTTGTGTAACAACCTAATAAAATAAAGCCATATTCCAGCTACAAAAGGACATCCTTTTTTTCTGTTTATTAAAGTTGAAAAAATGGCAAAACTACTCTATACTACTAGAAGTCTCAATAATAGTCTCTGGAAAGAGGCAGAAAGGACTTCCAGTTGCTACTCTGACTTTCTAGTTCTGAATGTGTTAAACAGGTGGGTACACTGTGAGGAACATCAAGATGAAGACAGTAAGGAATATTGAGATGAAAATTCATAATCTATGCATCTTTCTGAATGTACCTGTATGTAAATGAAAAAAAAACTTTTAAAATGTAGTGACTTTGAAAAATAAGTAAGGTATTCCTAATTTTTACAATGATAAAATCACCAATAAGTGATTATATTGGAAGAAATATTCTTTATACTGTCCAAGACTGTTAATAAAAACTATACTTGTATGTATGGAAGGTATCACACAGTGTTAAGAATCAATACAGATTGCTAAATACACACACTTTGGTTCTTTAAGTCGAAAGAATGTTTAATAAAAAGTCAAATTCTGGAGCATTTTTAATTAGTTTCTCTGATGTCCACGGAGAATTCATAATTATAAAAATACTCAATTCTATTTTATTGCATATGAACTGTACTCTTCACTTAGCATTGGTAAAGGTTATTCCTATTTCTTTATGTTTCATACGTATTATACAAACAGTACTCTTCTAATCTTCAAAATATTTCTTACAAATCCAAGAAGACTGGATCTGGTTTGGAGATCTCAGTTATTAAATCTTCTGTAATACACATAAGTAGAGTTGTCAGAGATAATTTTATACAGTAACAATTTTCTGGACATTTACT